TACCAACATATATATATATATATGTCGTCATCGTAAGATTCCTCATTCCAAATACGTGTTCCTCTTAGATTATATATAATAATAAAAAGAGAAGAGGAATCGAAAAAGACAAAATATACGACGAAAATAGACAAACAAATTAAAAAAAAAACATGGATGGCTTGTGTGTTGTAATCCTCGTATGATAGGCAAAAGTATACTTCTGAGCAAGATCATGATGAAATACCTCGAAACACAGTATCCACAGAGAAAATCCCTACAAAAGTCACATTGACTAGAGAACAAAAAAAAACATTTTTGTTATAACGTCAAGAGAACTCCCAAAAGAACACATCTCTTTAGTTAATTACATCTTGGAGGATACCCAAGAATACTCTCAACGAAACACGTATGCTTACATTATCAGGATCAGTAATTAAGTCACCAAAGAGATGGTTATTTTGCAAGAACATCCCAATGCTTTCAAAGCTCTTGCTAACCCACAGGGCTTAGAGTGAATCTCCCGCATCTCAAATGACTCAGCAAAATACATAGATTCTTAGCCCTGCTTTAAAGAGATGAACAAAGGACATTCTAATCCCATTCTTTTGTGTTGTCATATTGCTTTGAGATCCGTGCAAATCATTTTTAAATATACACTTATATTTATAATAATTCGGCGCCATAAATATATGCATGAAAATGTATATTTCACTTTTAAAAACATTGTGACTATGAAATTAAAAATATGAGGGATGTGGATATAAATATCAATGTTTACTTAATATTTCTTTGGTATATATATATATATATATATATATATGTAAATATCTCTTTTATCTATTGTCTTTTTGTAGGATGAGACCAACTTCCTGAATGAACAAGGGCTTCCAGCTAAAAAATTTCCAGATCACTGGAAGGGAGAAAATGGAATTTATAGCGCAGGCTTGTCGCGCCGAGGACTAGATGGGATAGCAAGTGATGCTAGGCTTATAGCTAATGATATTAACATGATCATGAAGAGCAAAAGACCCTTCACAAACCATACATGTAAGTATTTAAATAATTGATTTATCATCGTTGATAGCATGAATTAATGAATGAAGATATAATCTTAATGATGTTTTTATGCATTTAATTGTGAACAGATGAGGCATGTAAAGAGAACTAGAGGACAACCTTTCCCTCAATGATTGAGTTATGTTTGTCAAGCTAGCCAATCCTATTTGATTTGTGGTGAAGGAAAAAATATTACATATCAGAGAGTAGTGCGCTGAGAGTGTACTACAACACAGTATATAATATTTTCTCGTGTTAAAGATGTGTTATTGCTAGATTTTGTAAAGCCTAGCAAGTATTAGTAATTGCATTGCAGTTGCTAAGAAGCGGGAGAATTTTTATTTTTTATTTTTTGAGGGAACAAGTATGAAATTTAATAATTGGAAATATGGCCCTAATTTTTAACATGGATAAAATCTTCATATTATGGTTGAATCTTCTCTTTAAATGCAAATTTTTGTGTAATTTCTTTCTCTTTATTATTTGGAGATTTCGTGTTAAAGTAAATATTTTGCGAAAATTTTTTATTGAGTTGGAGAGATTTTTCATTTGATTTAACAGATATTATATTAGATTGTTTGATTATATAAATATTAATATTAATGATGAGTGTCATCGTTTTTGTCGACGATGAGGTTCGACCTTTTTAACAATAATAGACATTTATGTTGGTGTCAATGGTGTTTATCGATGACATGTGGGTTGATGACGGGCAACCTTGGTTAGGAAGCTAACTTTGGTGGGAATTTTTAGTGTTGGCATTGGTGTTGAAGTTGAATATTAGGCTTGTTAATGATGGAGAACATGGATTTGGCTTGCGACAATGGGTGTTAGGGTTGGTGTGGAAGGTGTGCATCATCCTTACTAGTGTTGACATGATGCACAAGAATCAATCGTGTCATCAACAACAACATCGAAATTTTTGATAACTGTGTGTTAACCTTATGGGGTGAATGTATTTAGCATTCATATCAATGGCGGGGGCATTGCCTTTTTGGTGGTTGTAGACCTTATGACCATGGCAAACATCAATGATTGATAGCAAGAGTTTTGAATTTTATTCTTTGTTATTTTATATCTAAACACTAGTTTCTTTAAGCAACAAGAAAGAACAAATAAAAATTTAGTCTCATGGCCTTAATAAATTAAGCCCACCAGTTGTGCATTTAGTGGTTTGATACTGACCATATCAACCATACTCATTAGCCATACCATTGAAAGCGACAAAATTTCAGAGCTCCTTATTGTTCAGAAGAATTATGCGAGTACCTTTGAAATGCGTTAGCAATGTAGCGAGTTCCTCAAAATAGGTCTACCCCACTTTGATCTTCTAGCGAGTCTTTATAGCCAAACTTGCTTACGTTATTAGAGTTCTTACTCCATACTAGTATGTGTTGGTTTGACCTTCTCACCAAACCCACCGACAACTACTCGACACACCACCTAGCTGACGAGAATTTCGCTGATGCAGAAGGAAGAGAATTTCTGTCTATCAACATACATACCAACATTTATTAATAACATGACAATCCACATCAATAATTTTGTCGACAATGTGTGCTCTGACACCATACTACATATCCTATAACCTAGTTCTATGTTATTTTTATTTCTAGACCCCTTTTATGGGTAGGCAAGCTCCTATAAATAAGAAGAAAAGAGGTAAGAGAGAGATGGCTCCCCACTTTTTTCTAAATCTTACACCCTCAAAAAACTCACTAAAAATCCCGCAGCTTCTTCTCACTCCAAAACCTCTGACGGGTCATACATTTTACTAGAGCTCACGTCCCAAAGCGAATCAACATGAATCCTCTTTGGAGCCTCCTACATGTCTCACTCACCAATGATTATCACCCTTGATCATATAATAAATTTGAAACCATATTAAAGATAATAAATTTAAGTGCTTTTGCGCTCATCATATTTATATTGTCAAAATGCTCATTTTATTTATACGTATATAACATTTAAATATTATTTAATTACTCTAAAAGTATAGTAGAACTTAGTTTTCTTTATAAAATAGGATTTTATTTCATAAATAATTTTTTTATTCGGTGTTTAATATGACTATTAAAAGCAAAAAAATGGAGCAACTTCTCTCAATCTCAATAAATCTTTCAAGCAATTAAAATATTCTCCCATTCAAAAAATAAAATATATAATTTATTCACTTGAAACTAGGGCTGTCAAAACGGCTCGTTGTTCGCGAACAGCTCGTGTTAGGCTCGTTAAGAAGCTTGTGTTCGGCTCGTTAATTTCGTTTGATAAGTTAACGAGCCGAACACGAACTAAGATGTGTTTGTTTGTGTTCGGCTTGTTTTGGCTCGAAATACTACTCATCAAGTTTATATATATATATATATATTAAGTAGTATTTTAAAAAAATCTAATTGACTACAAGACTACAAAGATTTATAATCAATTAAAATATTGATTGAGAAACTAGAATAAAAATTATTAAATTAGATTCGAATGATGTTTTAATATAAATAATAATTTTTAAATCTTGCTCAAACTCTTATTGTCATATGACTACATGATTAGGGCTGTTAAAAGGACTTTTTGTTCGTGAACAGCTCGCGGTTCACCCTCTCAACCAAACGAGTCGAACACGAACACACTTTTTGAGCTCGAAATATAAACTTGAAACCACCAATTAAAATAAAAAAATAAAATAAAATTTAAATCCTACTTTTTTATCTTTATTTACATCAAAAATTTTCTTATCCCCTATTTCCTAGGAAAAAAATAATACATATGAAGTCCATACGAACAAACAAACAAACAAACGACCAATCACTCAAATTCGAGCATTGCCACTCACAAATTTATAACACCTCATATCTCAGAAAAATTATTACATGCATTCATCGCACGCAAAACTACATACGATCGTCCAATTAAAACTTCTGCCCCAAAAAAGTGTATGACAGTGGGTCCAATTTAAAAATTTTAAAAATTTTAAAAATTAATATTAATTAGATGATGTTTTTCTATTAGAGGCCGTAACTACGGCCTCCGGATGGAAAAATTGCTCCAAATCTCAACAACTGTTCACGCATACCAAAAATAAAATAAATATTACGTGCAGATAAGATATGTACGCAATTGCAGGTAAAAAAAGAAGCGTAATAAACTAGAAAAAAACTTTGTTTCTGGTACTCGAAAGGCTGTCGAAATGATAAAAAAGGTAAATCTGAATACAAAAGTTGAGAAATTATCTAACAAATAGTGATTTCATGGCCTGTTTTTAAGAAATTGCCTGTTCAATGCCACCATTTGAGCTTAAAAGCGTAACCGTATCAAATGATGAATTCAGAAACAAAAACTTGCATAAATACTGCATGCCATTATATATAGGAAGAAATTGGCATTTGTTCCTTGAATGAAACATCATCAGCAGCAGCAGAGCACTCACAAGCCACGAGCTACTTTTGTCCTTCAGGCTCTTTGTTTGACAGATACCTGTTCAAGGAGAAGAAAAACAACAGAAATTTAAAAGAATGGGGAAAAAGAGAGGGAAAGTACTTGAGCTTATTTCTGATAGACATTTTTTACCAATGTATATTACCAAACTTTCAACACAACTACTTATAAAGATGGTATTAAAAATATCATGATTTAAATGGAGGTAAAGTATATTTATTTATCCAAGTATATGTCCATCATCATTTATCATACATCAAAATTTTGGATGAAAGTTATATATATATATAGGGACAGATGTTGGAATAAAGTGAAGCGGAAGAATCTGTCCAAATCGGGAAGTTGCGTTATGTGGGCTGGGGGTGTCGAGCAACGCCCCGCTATACGGTACATGGGTAATTTGAGAATTACATATTGTACTGTTGGGTTTACTCTAGGATTATAAATAAAACTGTTTGTAATCCTGGGCCTTAGAGAGACCTGAATATTTTATTTTGTATTCTTTTCTGAATATTGAAAAGGAAGTCGTCGTCTGCTTCCGAGGATGTCGGCATATTTGCCGAACCTCGTTAAATCTCTGTGTGTTCTTCTGAATTTATGTCGATTCTTGTTTTTCTTCGCCCTAATTTCTTCGCCCTAATTTCTCACCCTAATTTCTCAACAAGTGGTATCGGCGGCAGGTTCAATGACAGGGAATAAAAATTTCAGTGGTGCAGGAATAAAGAAGATTTTGGCAGAGGAGTTTGGCGGCTAGGGCGTCAGATTCGTCGCAGGAAGTTGCTTCAGTGAATTCAACCGAAGCAAGGTTCGCGCGCGTGTTACTGCGAACAGACGCAAAGGTTTCGACACAGTTCCCAGAAGTGTCGCAGAGTTCTTCTGATTTCTCTACCATTCACGACAGACAGAGGTTGCAAGCAGTTCGGCGACGGCTTCAGGGAATTGGGCGACGCTGCGATTTGGACGGCTCGGCGCTGGAAGGACGGGGTTTCGGTACAGCAACAGTAGAAGAAGAAAAGTTCGTGAGTTCGCGACACAACAGCAGAGTTCCCTAGTTCGCGGCTTCGGTACAGCAGGAGAATTCGCGAATTGCAAGAAGTCGTGATTGGCGGCGGCAAGGTTCTTGCGGAAGGCTGCTGGGCGGAAGGGAGGAAAGGAATCTTTCCTTCTGTGCGTGGATCTGAAAAGGAAGAAAGTTTTGCAAAGGAAGGTTCGGTGCATTCGTGAAAGGAAGGCTCTCTTGGAGAAATTGGAAGGAATCTTCTCATTTGTTTCCTTTGCTGGTTCGATCCGTTTCCTTTGGAGGTTGCGGAGAAGAAAAAAGAAAGGAAATCAATAAATCATTTTCCCGCTGAAGAAAGGAAAGTTTTTGAATTTTACTTAATTAAAGGAATATTATTTTTTAATTAAGTTGATTTAAATAAAGTATATAATTAAGGAAACTTAATTAAAATTTTCTTTGTTGGATTTGCGGATGTGAGATTTCTTTTGCTGGAGGCTGAAGAAAGGAAATGATTTGAAATTCAGTTAATTAAATAAAATATTTAATTAAGGGAATATTTCAATTCTTTTTGGAAAAATTTTATTGTTTCTCTGGGAAACTTAATTAATGGAAAATTTTTTTTCTTCAAAAAATTAATTAAGAGAAACTTAATTAAGAAATCTTAATTAAGGGATTATTTAAAAGAATTTGTGGTAGAATCAAAGTACAATTTCTGACTCAACAATGAATCTTGTGGAGAAGAAAATTTGGAAGTATTTTCTGAATTTCATTGGCTGGAGAAAGAAAATCTTGGCTACGGCGCAGAAGAATATAAAATTTTGCGGATTATTCGCAAGGCAGACGGGCTCGCGGGAACGAACAGGTGCGAAGCAGTTTGGATAAACGAATGCGGCAGTTTGACGAGTTATGCTTCAGGAAGTTTGCGATAGAGGCGGCGTCGCGACTTCGAGGCGCAACAGTTCATGAACCTTCGCGGCATTAGGCGAGGTGGAGTTAACTAACAGGAGTTCGTGTGCAGTTACCGCGAACAGGAGCGTTTGCGAACAGAGGAGTTTGGTGGTGTTCGACCAGCGGAGTTTGCAAGTTCGTCGCAAGAGGAGTTGCGACAGGTGGAGTTCGGTAAGGTGCTGGCGAGCGAGCAGGCACGATTATTCTCGAACAGTAGTTTCGCGAAGAGTTTCGCTCACGGGACAGTAGTTTAGCCGAGGTGCTGGCGCGAACAGGAAAAGTGCTTCAACCCACATTTGTGCATAAGAAACTTCATGATATATTTCTCCTAAGGGGTTGAATATTCGCAAGGTAGAGATTTTCTCCTAAGGGGCAGAATATTCGCAAGGTGGAGATATTTCTCCCAAGGGGCTGGATATTCGCAAGGTGGAGATTTTCTCCTAAAGGGCAGGATATTCGTAAGGTAGAGATTTTTCTCCTAAGGTATTGGATATTCGCAAGATGGAGATTTTCTCCTAAAGGGTATTCACCAAGGTGGAGAATTATTAGGTATGACTCATAATACCATAATTTGGAGTATCTTGGAATGAACAAATGTTTCTTCGAATTAATGAGGTGTGTCTCTTGAAATTTAGTGGGTTGAGATCAACGTGGGCGCAACATAAACATGGTGGCCCAACCCACATTTGTGCAGGTGTAACTAGCAGATATCTTTTCTCCTAATGGGCTGGATATTCGCCAAGGAGGAGATTTGTTATGGTATGACTCACATACCATATAGAGATAGATGCTGGAACAAAGCGGAGAGCGGAGCGGAGCGAAGCGGAAGAATCTGTCCAAATCAGGAAGTTGCGTTATGTGGGTTGGGCGTGCTGGGCAACGCCCCGCTATACGGTATATGCGTAATTTGGGAATTACATATTTTACTGTAGGGTTTAATCTAGGATTATAAATAGAACTGTTCCGGGGCTTAGAGAGAGCTGAATATTGTATTATATATTCTTTTCTGAATATTTAAAAGGAAGTCGTCGCTCTGCTCCCGAGGATGTAGTCATCTTTGCCAAACCTCGTTAAATCTCTGTGTGTTCTTCTGGATTTGTGTCGATTCTTGTTTTTCTTCGCCCTAATTTCTCGACAGAGAGCTTGGAATATATATATATATATATATGTGTGTGTGTGTGATTTTTTTAACACCTGCAAAAAAACACGACAAAAATACACCTTAGTGTAAGACCCTCGGGTCGTGGTTCGAATCCCATCCCTTTCGGGAGGATTCAAATAGCACACAAGATTGGCAGTCCAACCTATAGGAGTTGATCGTCAATCTTCGACCCTCGATCAATCTTTATATATATATGACAATAACTTCTAAAATTTCTACCAAATAAGCTTCTGCATGGTGGCACAAAGAGAACTATTCTTTCACCCTTCGCAATACAACCATTATAATGCCTCACAAGCGCTGCTATCTACAAATAGCACCCATACCAATCTCTTTGTTTACCACATGTTTGGAGTATGCCAAAATCATATAAGCATTAAATATGATATGAAGATTTACAGACATGCACTCAATTCTTATGTATTTGAATATCCAGCACCAAAATTTCAATTTTTACATACATATCACCTTCCATTGCATTAAAGTGTACATTTCACTTTTCAAAAGTTCAAATTTTGGTATTTTTGATGTGATATGAAAGATTTTGGTTTTATAAATGTAAAAAGTTTAGATTAAAGATATGTAAACATACCGGAATTGGGTGGCATGCATGGAAATGCCCCATTATTATATTCTTTCTAGCCTTACAACACCATCTTAGCATTTCAATACCTTTTAATATACCCATTATGCCTAAAATCTATTATATTTCCTAACATATATTCTAAGATGATAATATCATAAGATTAACTCCGTCAAAGTTTGATATACATACCCTTGAGCCTTTGCCCAACGAGAAAGTTGATAGAGCTGAACTGTTTCATTAGAGACATGGCAAGCTAGAAGAAGGTAGTTTCGCGGCTGAACCATCCACGCAAACCTCATGAAGAGTCCCGAATAAACACACATAGCTGCAAAACCATTTTAGGGACATATTACTATGAGAAAGAGGATTTATTTCAAGGTTTTCCTAAACATTTTTTACAAACCTGCAGTCATGTTACCAGATATCATTTCTGGTGGCTTCTGGGTATCAACCAAACCCTAAATAAAAAGATATTGAATGCTTACTTTTTAATAATTGTGTAGATGAAATGAAAATAATCAAATGCAATAAATAGAAGGATAAAATGTAAATCTCATTGAAAGCAAACTATCTAATACAAACAATTAGTTAGAACTAAGATAACGAATAGAAGAAAAAGAATCAAGTTTCTAGCAAAGTGTTTTGATCTCCCAATGAAATCAACCATAAGGAAAAGAATCAAGGAAGACATAGTATTTAAGATATCATGCATATGAATAAAGCTAGATAGATAACAAATATAAAAATACATCAATCACGATGGAAATCATTCACTAACCTAAGAAAATTTTGACAAGGAAAAAAAAAGAATAAACTAAAAAAGAAGCCTCTCACTTTTGCAAAGAGATCATCTCCCCTACTTGATTAGTAATTGGAATTGCAGAACGATGAAGAGAACTTCACATTCACAAAAAAAAAAAAATTATTTAAGCTATGCGGGATTTCAATACAAGAGGATTCAAGAGATATCTCTTAATATCATCAAGTACAGGTGAGCAAAACTTGTCTTAACGAAATAAATCTTTTTATTGGACAGCATAGCAAATATATGACATCTATCAGGGAGGTTGGAATTGAAATGCCTTAAGCAAACTAATATGTCCTGAAAGGATCTTTGCCACGTCAAATTTTTAGGTGGTTTCATTTTTATAGTATACTTAGTTTTCACATGATCGGTCTCAATGCCCTCTAAAGGAAAAGACAACAACAACAACAAACATTTATCCCACTAAATGGGGTCGGCTACATGAAACACTTTTTTCTCCATTGCGCATCCTATTGAGTGTCATATTTTCATTTAATTCTAATAGATTAAGATCAACTTCTAAAGGAGAATGAATCCTAAAAAAACCCGTAAAGAAATCTTGAATGCACATTTTAAGGAGTTTCTTTTCAACCCATATTTCTTTAAAAAATGGAATACAAACTTTAAATTAGTAAATGGTACATGACAATCAATGACTCTACTTTTGACAATATTGTAATAGTCAGTAGTGTAAGAGAAAAAAAATAACTGGGTCTTGGCCTGTTGAGATCCTATGCTGACATTTTTTTAGTTTAGAAGGTATTTCTTTGTAATAATAAATGCTGAGAATGAGAATGACTGTTTTATATGTATATCTCAGTAGCAACCACCTGCAAATTTGGCTCCAATGATTTTTTATCCAACATTCTTCTAATATTTTGAGGGATAATTGTTGAAACTCCTCACCATTGAGAATGGATGCTTGTAATACATTGTATTCCTATATGAAAAATTAAACTGATGATGGGGTGACTATGAAATAAGGAGAAAACGGAAAAAGAAAACAATTCAGGACATTGGATAATAACGTATAGTATAATGTCACATCAAATACTCTGAGAACAAGAATGTTATTAGAATTTTTTAGGATATCTAAATCATAGCATTAGTACCAACATAGTGAATAACCATCTAGCCCAGATATTTTTACAGTCAATTTCTTAAAAAATCCTTTAAGAAAATCTACTAAATTCATGTGAATAATAAATTGTCACCTTTGAATTCTATAGAACCTTTTAATAATAATAATTACAATGGATTTATATTTTTTTATAGTTGATGGAAGGCTTCTTTCCATATGACTAACGGATCATAAAATATGTAGCAATGCATGTAATAATAATGCTAAAATAACTATTTGCCTCCTCAACGAAATAATATAGCTAGCACTAAGAGAATAGAGGATGAAGCAAAATACAATTGATACTTTTTATAAATCCTTAAAAGTTTATTCCAAAAATAGATCAAATCACATAAATAATCTGTCTACTATATGTTGAAGAAACTAACACAAATGGCTCAAAGATTATTTGTGATGATTTATTTAAGTTTAGATTCAAGCAGACGTGCTGACGCAATTTGACTTTTTATATAACATTATTTTCATAATTTATAAATCAAGAAACCAAAAATCATAAAAAAAAATAATTTTAATTTGATTTATAGAGGAATTGTCGCTAGAAACTTTATCATGGGTTACATTATCAAAATTTGCAAGTGATCAACAGGTATGAGTTGCCCAATTTCATAGTCAATTTTAATTGAGATTTAGACTTATAAGTGTCTCCTATTAAAATGTAACTTCAAATTCATATTTTAATTGAGGTTTCTGTTTGGGTATTGATGGGTAATCAATAATTTTTTTTTTTTGTAAAGCACGAATCTCAATGCATTTTTATAAGGGATCTTCCAAATTCAAATTCAAGATATGGGCCTTGATTTCATTAAGTTTATATTCAAATTGATCGTCTCGACAAGACGAATGCAATGATGTCAAAGTTGGTTCAAACTGGATCCAATCAATCAGTTAAAGCATAATTGGAGGCTTTGGATCGTCAATATAATTCAAATAAACTCTAAATTTGACATATTTATAGTTGAATCAAACGTCTCGACGAGAAGAATCCAATGATCCTAAGATCGCTCAATTTTGGACATTAAGGCACCCAAATTCTTAAAAAATCACCTATGATCAAAAGAAAACAACATAGACCGTCTGCTCAGGTTGTTAGCAAAGTTATGCGCCAAAACACAAAAATATATTTCCCCAAAAGGCAATAAATAAATTTCCTCTCTTCAATAGAGGAGAAGAGAAGTAAATTTCAGAGCCTATTTTGGAGAATACTCGACGTATAACCATCGACCTCCACAGCCGCCAGCCACCGTCGACCGCCATCAATTAGGGGTGTAAACGAGCCGAACATGAGCGAGCCCGAGCTCAGCTCGTGTTCGGCTTGTTTATATTTCGAGCTCAGAAAATGTATTCTTGTTCGGCTCGTTTGCTTAACAAGTCCAACACGAGTCGTTCACGAACAAAAAACCATTTTGACAACTCTAATCGTGTAGTCATAAGATGTTAAGGATTACAGCAAGATTTAAAACATTATTTGAATCTAATTTAATAATTTTTATTTTATTTTCTTCATCAATACTTTTAATTGATTATAAATCTTTGTAGCCTTGTAGTCAAATAATTTTTTTAAAATACTACTCATCAAAGATATATATATAATTGATTAGTAGTATTTCGAGCCAAATGAGCCGAACACGAACGAACAAATATTTGTTCTTGTTGTTCGTGTTCAGCTCGTTAACTTAGCCAACGAGTCGAACATGAGCTTCTTAACGAGCCGAACAAGAGCTGTTTGCAAACAACGAGCCGTTTTGACATCCCTACCGTCAATTATCATCACCTGTCGCCGCCAATCACTAACCATGTGCAACCACCGCTTGCAATTGTTGTAGCTAAATACGACATTTGTGGTCAGCTGTTATTGTGATAATTTCCAGACACTATTAAAGTCATCGACTATAACCTCTATGACCAATTAATGCATTTATAGCAACCAACTATAGTCTTTGTGGCCAACTGTTATAATTATAATTCACAACTACGACCCCTGTGGCCAATTGCCGCTATTGCAACCACCAACTCCAGTCTTTGTAGCCAACTATTACTGTTACAATTTTCAACTACTGCTTCTGTGTCCAACTATTATAGCCTCCGACTACAACCTCTATGGCCAATTACTACTACTACAGCCATCACCTAAGACATTGTGCCTAAATATTGCTATTATGGCAAATAACTACATTTGTTGTAGACCAATTATGATAGTTATAACTAAATTATCATTGTACAACTATGATTATCATCTTTGTAATTTCATGTTCTCTAATTCAACAGAAGAGTCTATAGACTAATAATTACATGGTAGATTATTTTGATTGGGCTAAGCAACGTGGTGTTTTCCCTCTCTAAGGTTTTCCATATAAAAATCTTACCGTCTCTTCTTGCCAATTTTTTTCTAAATTGGATCTTCGTGAAACGCTAAAACATTAAATTTTCAGTCTACCGCCATATATTTTCCGACACAAAACGGGTATGATCTCTAGTTCAATTATAAATTCAAGTCTAAAAATTGTTTAATTTTATATATAGATTCGTAAGCATATATTCTTATGTAGATTATAGGTGAGTTCAAATCTAACAAAATTAAATGTATGATTATATTGCAATTCTAAATTGTTATATATATCCACCATATCATTTTAACAATATTCATAAATTACAATTTCTTCAGATAGAAAAGAGTGGCCATAAATGATTCTTGATTGATGTGAGTTTGGCAAGCTTTATAATAGATGCCTCTTATTTTTCTTCAAAGATATTAAGCATAGTAGTAATTCTGATAGGAAAATCTAATATTTCTAAACCTCTAGAGCTCAGAAGCCTCATCTGACAACATTTCGAATTAATTCTTAAAACATGTTTAATTAATTGTCCAAGAACTTCAATAAAACATATTGTGATAACAAAGTAATCTCTAAACTAGTCAAATTTGGCAATAAATTTTGAAATCTTATAAAATATCCAAACAGCCTACATTTAACTTTGCTTTTATAAAAGCACAAATAGGTTATGTTATATAAGCAAGTCCTACTAGTTCTGATATAGCAAATGCAACTTTCTGGAAATGAAATATATAATAAATTTATAAATAATCTTCTAAGTAATCTAATCAAGTTGAAATTTTCTTGAGATTATGCCTCACATTGATTCTAGGAGAATATTCTTTAACATCACAATAGGGATCATAAAATGTTTCTATTTAAGTTACATCATCTTATTTTGTTAACTAAGCCTACATTTATCTCCAATGTAATTGAAATTATAATGATATCTTAAGCTCCAATATCAAACCTATTATAAGATAACATAGGGTCTGTAATTTTTTATACAAATGTGATATAAAAAGTAGTGCTTGACGAAATTAAAAGATATGTAAAGCTTATTATTAAAAAAAATTTGAATTAGATGCAAATTATTTAATGGTACAAATGCCAAAAAAAAAATTGCAAATCTCAAGAGTGAGTAAATTATCTAAAACAAACAATTAGTTACCACTGCGATGATTAATTTAAAGAAATGGACTTCGATTTCTAGTGAAAAGCTTTGAGTTCCTAAAGAAATCAACCATAAGAAAAAAAATCAAGGAAATCAAAGTACTTTAGAGTTTAGACATTATGCATATAAATTAAATCTAAAAAGACACAATCAAAATGTCAAATAAACAATAAATAAAAGGAAAAATAGAAAAAGAAAGATAAAAGTCCCAAAATGATCAAGAAAACAAAGTTGATTTTTTACTTGCCGGACATATGGATTTATAAACTACTGCATTTGACAAAAAAAGAGAAACTGGGAATTTTGCATAATCCAACCATATCCACCAGAAAGATGAATGAGCTTCACTACAAATAAGAGTCGCGGTAGAATTTAAGAAGCATCCAATTAATCACACATAGACTGAGTCTTGAATAAAGAACTGCATTCAAGGATAACCTGCAGATAGGAATCCGAGAATGCTACAGTAGCAATGAAAAATAAATCATTGATAAGTCACGGCTAAGCAACAATTAAGCCAACAGAAACCACATCAAGTGTCCTACATTTTAATGCAGTGGCAAAAGATCGCACAATTATAGCACTAATTTTATTAAACAGGTTTTAAAAGGTTCCTAGCATTAGAAACTGATAAGTTATTATACGAACATAAATTTCAAATGACACCGTCAGTCAAAATGAGTGCAAAAACCCTAATACAAGATTTTAAAAAAAAAAGCATTTCAAATTATCCGCAGAAGGCAATCATGAGGAATTTTAGATTGAAAGTACAACTCCGTTTCAACTCTTGCATGAAAATTACGGAATTTATTTCTTAGTCAAGATATGATCAATACAGAATGCTTGCACTTAGAAAGGGGAAAAAAACCATCATGAAACCATCTTCAACTCTCCCTAAACATATGTATTGTGTTTCCCCCACTAGAAAATTAAGCTTCTCGTACAATCATTTTCGGATACACAAGTTTTTTACAGAAATATCTATTTTTAGGCAGCTGGATGGTGTATTTTCTTTCCTTGCTATATAAAATGACATTTAGTATTAGAAATAAGCTTAAAATAACAATACAAAAATAATCAGCAAAAAATTTAGGATTAGTACAGCAGTAACAAAACCCCAGTTGGCAACTGGTCCCCAGAAATGAGTTGTTTTAGGGCCCACCGGGCTATTCCAAAATGCTCGAAGTGCTGCCATCGCAACAGGCGCTGCTTCTGAACCTAAATATTTAGAAAAGGACAAGAACAATTAGAAAATGACAGCATAAATGAAGAATATGCTGTAGTTGTGCATGTAACAAAATTATTAAAATCAACGTAGGTCACCTACTACGGCTGTAAATTCTCAAGAAAAATATCAAATAGAGTTCACAAGCTTGATGTAAAATCTGAACAATAACAAAAATAAGATTTAAGCTTGAACTCATATTCCCTAAAATTTCACAGTATTTATGAAGGACAACAGAACAAATGTCTAACCTTGTTATGCCATATGAAATGACGGTTTTGAAACCAATGGTACAAAGCTGGATAATACGAATACCAAAGAGATTAAAGACAAAGATAGTAGAAAGAAGGGCAGATAAAGAAGCCCTATAGCTAAATTTAACACCTACTAATTTCTCCAAGTAATTTACTCATCACCACTGGCCTTATCCCGACAAAGTAACTAACTAATAGGAACAAAATTAATTAATGTTCTTATACAGCCATACTCACATTAGTCAAGTTAATTCAAGTCGCATTGAGATCAAAATTAGATTCAGAAAGTCATTGATCATGAACACATCTAAACTTCCGCAAATTGGAACTAGCCAAAGTTTTAGAACCCGAAATACTCGAGTCACCAAGAAATGAATATCTAAAAGGTCCCCTAAAAATTAGCTCCGACTCAATCCTCACTTTTAAGTTGTTGAACTTGCCCATGAGACTCGTGAAGCCGCACACTAATTGAGACTATTTATCCAAAGAATTTGGCAGTTGCCGAAAATATTTGCAAGCTGACTAAAAGTTTTCCGACACACAAGTCTGACTAAAAGTTATGCAAACTTTTATGCAAACATTGTGCATTTTCTCTCGATACCGCTTGCAAACTTTTATGCAAGCTGACTAAACGTTATCCAAAGAATTTGGCAGTTGCCAAAGAATTTGGCAGTTGCCGAAAATATTTGCAAGCTAGCCTAACCCTGGTCTAAATCCCCCAATACCTAATCCAATCTCCACCCAACATCCTTCCCCTGTTGATTTTACACATCAACACCCGAAACTTTTTTTTTAACTCTAGACCACCTCCAGACACACCCACTTCCACTCAACAAAACTAAACCCTAATCACGTCACCAAGGAGTAATTGACGTAAATCTTATCAAGAGAAAATGCACAATGTTGAATATTAGAAATCCACAAAGAGATGTCCAAGAACTTCCTATAGAGATCTTCCAACTATAACAGAAAATTGCAGTCTTCAAGAAGAGACAATACGGGCCACCCGTAGCCACAATGGCGATTCGTCGAATCAAAAGGATAAAGCACCATTATCCTGAAGATTTAATAAGAAATATTTGGGAAGTGAGGATCATGAAGTAAAAGTAGACTTACCAGATTTGACAGTCGCAAGGATACGGAAGAATTTATCGAGTGGCTCCAGACATTAAAAAGTGTCTTTGAGTACAAGAACGTCACACCAAACATAATGGTAAAGCTAGTCGTCATTCACTTAAAGAATGATGCATCTTTGTGGTGGGAGAATATGAAACTTCTTTGACAACAGAAAGAGAAAATTAAAATCACAGCCAAGTACAAGATAGAAAGAGAGATGCGGCGCAAGTACCTGCCTGCACATTACAAACAGGATATGTTATTGGGACTTCACCAGTTACAACAACACCACGTAACCACCTCATCTAATAGGTGGCAGAGTTCAACCGTAGGATCAAGCATCAAGAGTACAACCAGTGAGACACCTAAGCCGACCAAAGCAGAGAGAAACCCGTACATAGTGGAGAAATAATAAAGACCGCCATTACTCCCAATATCATCCCCGCCAGTAAATGCTTCAACTGTCACGGTTTTAGCCATGTGGTGTTTGACTGCCCAAATAGGAGAGTGATCTCTTTCATTGAGCAGTGAGCAATTGAAGAAAGGTGACACAAAAGAAGATGAAACCTTCATAAAGAAGTTTACTCTTTCAGCCAATGAGAAAGAGATGACGATTCAGGTTGAGCCAAAAAGAGATACTCCATAAGGATTCACATTAGTTATTCTAGAAGATGGTAAGCCCGAAGTAATGGGCGCTCTTATAGAGTTTGTTAATGTGGTGCCACGAACTACAATTTTGCAGGCCATAAGAGAAGCATCAATAGGACTGACATTGGGATTCCAAGAGGATCTAAGTTCGTGCAACTGGCACCAAGCACATGATAACTCCAGATAAGAGAATTTTATAGTTTTCAAACATATAGTCTACCACATAAGTTGCCACTACTGAGGAAAATCTAATATTTCAAAAATACAAAAGTTTTGAGCTACTTCAAGAAGGCAATATAGAGTAATATGAGTAATAAAATTCAGTTCAATTCAACAACAACCCCACAATCAGTGGCCATACAAGTATGGTGAGCTCCAACTTTGAACTCTTATTTAAGTGTTTTGTGAGAAAGAACAACAAACAATGGAATTAATGTCCTTCCAAAGAAGAAGAAGATGTCTCTCCTTAGTGGTTGTTATTAAAAATTTTACAGTCTACTCTAGATTTCATTCCAGAGCCAATTCCTCCTGACAAAATAATTTATTAGAAAACTTAGCCGAGTACGACTAGGAGAAACATATTACAGATTTGATGACTCGAGAGTTACTTTACAAGAATCTACGTCTATATGCAATTTCAACTAGGTTGTGACAAAAGAAAATGTACTTATTTGATTAGAATGTGTTTTGGAATGACAACTACATAATTGATTTATCAGGAGATTGCAATATTTCCACCGCTTTCAATGTGGACGACCTAACGTCATACTATGATGAGACAAAAGATTTGATGGATGAGGTTGAAGCTCCCTCCAACCCAGGAGAATGACGCGGATGTTCGATTCACGAATTGCGAAACCACAGACCACAAGTCCTTCCGTGATCCTAACAGGGCCAATCCATGAGTTTTTCTTCCCTTTTCTACTTCCTTTCCTATTTCCCTATTTTTCAATTAGATTATTTCCTCAAGAGGCCTTTATATAGGTTGTATAGAGGCTTTAGAATTTAATTTTGATTGTGTGACTATTTCAAACAGCCGCCAGCGTTTCTGATTTCTCGTCTAGGTTTTTATCCAATAGTCAAGTAATGCTCTAACAGTATTGATGCGTGTTAGAAGATTCACGGCGGTAGAGTAATAGATTATCGTATTTGCATTGCACGACAATTCAGCACACGTTTTTGGCCGATCACCTACATCCGGCTGGTTGTATGCCTGTGACCGGTCATCACAAGCCAGGATGACTGAAATGCTCGAACAATCAAAATATCAAGGCGACCGAAAATTCCTGGTGATCGAAATAGCCAACAATGAGATTTTTTTTTTTTTGAAACATCTTATAAATAAAATTTTCTAATTATGTTTTTCTAAGTTCGACGGAGACTCGAGGAACTCGAAGAGGTCACACGGTCTACATCTAAGCAGACACTCGGGAAATTCGAACTAACCAAGCAAATCAAAGACTCCCCTTTGAGGCGAGCAAGTCAAATACTCCACTCCATGGCGAGCAAATTTAAGACCCCCCTTCGAAGCGAGCGTAATCAACGACTAATCTCAGAGCGAGTAGAATCAACAACTCCCCTCCGAGACGAGCAAATCAAAAACTCCCCTCCGAGAAGAACAAATCAACAACTCCCCTCCGAGGCGATCAAATAAGCAAATGAAATACTCCCCTCCGGGTTGATCAAATCAACAAACACCAACATTCATCACCGAGTAACTACATCGACAAATAGCCGAGGCTAGGTAAAATACTAAAGAAAATATGAAAAACAACGAAAACTCTTACTCTACTTGCATATTCGTGAAGGTTACAAAACATGTTTATGTATTTTTCTTAAAAACAAAATGAACAAAATAACACTATCAACTAAGTGATAGAAGAAAACAATAAAACCGACCAAATGTCACCTCAACCAGCTGAAGGTCAGAATGTTGAGCAAGAACGCAAATCAAAAATCAACCCAAAAAAGCCTCAAGGGAGCACTTCTGAGCCGGAGAGAATATGGCGTTGAGGGATGTTGAAATCAAGGGAGTATGGTTATTGCATTTACATTTTTTACATTTAAATCTTTTATTCTTATCGTAACTTCACTTCTATGTAGTAAGAAACTTAGAAGAATTTATGTATGTCCGAAAAATGTCGAAGGTAGCAGAGACCGACCTACCATCCCATTCGGTCGGCCACTCTAGCCAACCGACTGGCCCCATCGCTGGATGAACCCAACAACTAAAAGGTGTCGAACATACGAATATGTGTCAGATATAAGAAAATGTGGTAATGAAGACAATAATAATCGGTAACTCCTGGGCAATAATAACGCGCAACTCCCAGGGACAATAATCACCAGTAACTCTCAGGGACAATAATAGCCAGTAACTCTCAAGGCATAATAACTTAGTAACTTCCATAAACAATGATACAATTTTTTAGATATCTCTTATGATCTATAAATATAAGAATCTTTTTCATGTAAAAGAGAGGATGTCATTTGGGTTTTCCAATTATTTAGGCACTACTCACCCCTTCTCTTGTAACAATCTCTTTTTATAAATAAAATGGGTCTAAAAGCCCAGGAAACACCCCCACTTTGCCTCGTTGGGGGCAATCACTATGTCACTCTTTCTTTCTCTCTCTCGATCTTTTCCTCTCCCTTGGTCCCTACGCTCTATGTCACGGGCATGGTCTACAGGACAAATTTGGATTGAACAATACCACTCAATTCTTATGTATTTAAAAATCTAACACCTAAACTTCAATTTTTACATAGATGTCACCCTACCTATGCATGAAAATGTATATTTTACTTTTAAAAATTAAAATAGTGGTAATTCTGATGTGATATGAAAGATTTGGGTAGTATAAATGTAGAAAAAGCAAAGTTTAGGTGTTAGATATATAAAAGCATAAGAATTGGGTGGTATTTATGTAAATGCCCCCATCTTGATTGGTGTAGGGTGCTATGTGAACATTATCTTTAAATACACTTTTAAACTAATAATCATTCAAATTGTCTTTGATTGTTAAACCACTTTGTGATTGTCATGGTGAGCATACAAAGACCAAAGGCCATAACATGCAACATAACATCAAGGAGGAAAGCAACCTCCAATACATAGCAATAGTCAACTTCATCATAGTTAATGCCCTAACAACATACAACTTTCTATTTTACTGAACTCTATTGAACACTTTAAAAGTTGTCATTTCAAAGTACGACGTCATCGTAAATTTTTCTTACACAAGGACGGTAACAACCCAAACTCTTATCCATAAATATATTATCCATTTTAGCGTAATTGTCGCGGGGTTTTGCCCTCGTGGTGTAACATGTCAGGAGGTCGCCCATCACAGAAATGTTTCCAAGAGATCATGCTTAACTTTGAAGTTTCTAATGAAATTTCAACCATTACAGAAAAAGACACCACATTATTTTAGAGTTCAGTTCATTCTTCTTAAAGATGTTTTATAATTTCCTCACTTAAATAACAGATATTCTCGTCAATCTTTTTAACCTAGAATCATCCAATAGACAGATAAGATTCTAAAGATCCATCGTGATATTGTTTACTTTGGCCTGATGGCCTCATGATTTTGTCCAATTGGTGCAACTTCCAAGGAGGTCACCCCTTACAGCAATGCTCCAATAAGAGCATGCTTAACTTTAAATTTTCTGTTGAAACTTCAACCATTGCACCAAAAGACAGTTGGATCGGGGTAAACTCTCATTATCCAATAAAGCTAGCTATAAGACTGAATATGTTATCTAAGTAAGGTATGTTTTAGCTAAGAAGATGAGCAATTACTAAAGGTATAAAGGATAGCTAATCACGAGACTTTTAAAATCACTATAGAAGTTGCAATTTAAACTGCTAAAAATATTGTAGTCCAAAACAAAGACCTATCATACACCACACATCAGTGTTTCCTAAAATGAGAAACACTGAGTTCAAATTGCAAGTTGTCTCCAATCAAATATTGATTTTTTCGCTTGTTCAACAACCAAAATGTTAGAAGTTCAGTTTAATGTCACTTGTCATAGATTGAACATTGACAAGCCCAGGTTGAGTCCTCTTCTCCTCTCATATCCATAAAAGTAAACTCAAAGGAACTTGACATTATTGTTTTTACTCAAAACCGCCACCAATGTCTAAAGTTCTAGTGAGGCTGCTTAACCCACATATACAAAATTTCAAGAAAAAGGAATGGAAAAATTCTAAATTTCAACATCAGCTTGCTTACCAATAAAAAAGGTATCATTAAGATATTGTCATGTCCAATCAAATAATGAATTGGAAAAATTGATATGAATTTAATAAAGCCCGTCTCCTGCATGTCCAAAAGCTATTAGAGCTAGCTTCCATCCATAAAGTTCAATACTCAAATTGTATTTTAAAATATCATCATAGATCAAAAGGCTAAAAGGAAGTTGAGCATATGCATCTACTTCAACAACATGAATCAAGCCTTATCCCATGAACAAATACTTACTTGTGCTCACGTTGATTCTATTATGAATCTTTTAGACTTTCTTAATATTTTATCTAAGCATGATCAAATCAAAATGCATCTAATCAATCAAGAGAGAGAGGACAGCATTCATCATTAGAGATTATTTGTACGGTCATATTATTTGGATTGAAAAAAATTAGAGCAGCTTATTGAAGAAAAATGAATGTTGCGGCATTCGAAAATTCGCACTCAACTCTCATATAAGAGTGATTCTAATTCAACTTTGTAAAAGAAAGATTGAATAAGAAAATAAATCGAGAGATTTAACACTCATTTTAAAAGGACCATACGGTATGCTTCATGGTTTCTCATGTTCAAGAGCTTTAATGATTAATTGACCATATTGATCCAGAGAGAAAATTTTCAATTAAGGCTAATTTGCATATGTCAAATACATAGCATATGATAGTATTGATTTGGCTACAACAACAATACATTGTGATTAACTTTAAGCGGATGATGAGTGGATGATGGCAAACCCAATTAAGATCCTACAATTTCATTATCCCATGTTGTTATAGACCCTAGTTTGTCAAGTAGATATTTAATACAACCTGACTCAAGAATCCTTATTAACAACTATGAGTTATACATTCAAATGGACTTCATAGACCTAAAGTGAACATTAGCTTAATTCGACAAAATTAAGTATAGGGTTTCAAAATCTATCATATATACCCTATGATTCATAAATCAAGAGTGGTAAGACAATAAAGAACTAAGCTTCAATAATTGCTGAAATTTAATACTATCTTTTCATGGCAAGCCACTTGATCAAAATATTTTGCTAATAAATACCATCATTTTGTGCAAAATCACCAAGTTAGCGGACAAGTCGCATTCATACTTATGTGATATTTTTAAGAGTGATCATAAAAATATGTTTAACATCATCAATAAACTAATATAAACAATCCATGGATAGTTCTTTTAAGCTTAAAAAAGTGGATTTCACTAAAAAAAAATTTTATTTTATTTATTTTTTTGTTTTATCACAATTTGAGCCAAAATAATTTACTTTCAGATCTTAAGGATTCTTAAAATAATGTTCTACCTAGTTAAGGCTTTCTATGAACACGATTAACATTGGGAAGGGGTTGGTTAAAGCATTTGTATTGTATTTGAGGGTATTATTTTGAGAATAAATGACATTGCTTGCGATGTGCCATGGGCATACCCATCATTGGGGCATTTGAATGATCACATTTGATTGTTTGGAACCATGTTGACTCTCTTTCCTTATTTGCATGGGATTGTATTTATGATTTCCATATCTTTTAAATTCGTTGGGATATCATTACATTGCAAACCTTATCAACTCTACCCTCGCATTAAGAAGATTGGGTCTACATGTCAAAACTTATAATTATATCTAATTGGCACGGCGTCAAGAATTTACCGTTTTTAAAGGCTTTTAAGATACTATTTAACAACAACAAAAACAAGCATTTATCCAACTAACTGGGGTCGGCTACATGAATCATTTTGCTCCATCATTTCCTATTGAGTGTGATATTTTTATTTAATTCTAATAAATCAAATATCTACATGGGATTTGTGGTCAATATTTGATTATGACTTTACTTGATTGCATCGAGAGTATATATTAAAATCATTCACAATCATAATTTACTTCAAACTAACTGCTTAAATATTATTAGAGATTATTAGCCTAATCTACTTCAATCCTGATGAAAAGACAGATTATACTTAAAAATGAGACTTATGACTCTCTCTTATAAGTAGCTTATCAGAGAGTTTGTATTTTTTAAATGTATTTTTTTTTTTACTAAAGAATTTGAAGATCATATGCAACAAAATACATTGACTTAGCTAATTTTATAGGCCCTAAAAATTTATTCCAACTCTTTTAAAGGATGAGTGATTTATGGTCAATTTTTCATAAGCCAATGGCTTTAAAATAAAACGAAGATTGCACTTCATTCTGTGATAATCATATGATATAATTCTAGGTTTTTCATATGTGCAATCCTCTATGGTTAATAATCCTTCTCATATGCCAGAAATAACTTTGATTTAAAGATAGATTATGGGCATTAAATGCTCAACTTATAATACCAACAACTGATTTTGGAAAGAGCAAATTTATCGCCATCAGCTTAATAGATGGTGGGAGAAATGAAAATGTAATTGATCAAAATCCCATAGTTTTGTCATCTCGGGATAATATAGATGCTAGCCGATTAAATCAAATGAAATAGCCGACTTACCCCAACCTAAGGATCCTTGTTGGCATACATGCTTGAGATTTGCAATCCAAGAATCATACTAGAGATAAAATTGAGATGTAGGAGAAAGGAGAAAGGAGAAAGGAGAAACGGAGAAAGGAGAGAGGAGAGAAGTAATAGCTTTCAACTTTAAGGAATTTTAAGCTATGTGTGCTGCAACTTGGCGTCAATGCTTCTTTCTAGTTCTTTTCTGTTTCGACAGCAAGTCAATTAAGTCTACAACTATTTAGATGGTTAAATGCAGATTCATCGCATCTACAACTTGATAATTACTAGACACAGATTAATTTTTTGCCACAAAATCTAGCACCTTTTGTATATCTAAATAACCTAAGAAATATTAACAGATTGCAAGTACTTCTAACAAAGAAATCTTTATCGTATCAAAACCTCCGCATCATTCGCTCATTTTTTTCGGTTTTGGCATGCGAGAAACTTGTTCGAGCACAGTAAATGCTTTAGATTTCTATTATTTACGGGCATACAATCTCATTCAAAAAAACTATGCCACAGAGAAAGCTAGGTTTCATTCGTATGGGAGAATTAAACGGAACACAAAGTCGCACAACCGGGATGATAGACGGCAAATGGCCTCCCGGCAAGCGGTGGGGACTCACCAAACTTATTGAGAGCTGTACAGACACCGCAGCTGTCACCGTCTCTTCCGCTTCGCCTTCTTCTCTGTGCGAGAGGACGGATCAGATGATGAATCGTAGGATAGTAACCAGAAGACTTGAAAGAAAATTTATATTTATTTATTTATTAATGAAAATCGAACTTAAAAAGTGTGTTCGTGTTCGGCTCGTTTGCTTAGCAAGCTGAACACGAGCAGTTCACGAACAAATAATTGTTTTGACAACCCTAATCATGTAGTCATAAGATGTTAAAGAATAAGATAAGATTTAAAACATCATTTTAATCTTATTTAATAATTTTTATTCTATTTTCTTAATTAATAATTTTAATTGATCATAAATCATTGTAGCCTTATAATCAATTAAATTTTTAAAAAATAGTACACATCAATATGATGAGTAGTATTTCGAGCCAAAACATGTCGAACACGAATGAACAAATATTTGTTCGTGTTGAGCTCGTTAACTTAGCGAACGCGTCGAACGAACGAGCCGAACACTAGCTTCTTAACGAGTCAAACACGAGTTGTTCGCGAACAACAAGCCATTTTGACAGCCCTAATTGATAAGCTTTGTCTAATATAAGATAATTTTCTTTAACAATTTCCGTTAGCTCCTCTCTTTTTTTTTTTTATTCCTACTTTTTTTTTTTTTAATTAATGAAGAAAACTGTAACCTTGTAATTATGCAATCGTGCAATGTCCGATATATTTTGAACATTGATGCTTACCTGAAGTGCGCCAAATATTTATCACACGTGTCCTTGACATGTCCCATTCGAGCAATATTAAAAAAAAGATAACAAGCTTCTCTAATTAGTTAAGAATAAAAAATTCTCAAAAAGTTCTAAAACATCTGATATATTTTTTTATAAGTAAAATAAAAATATATATATATATATATATATGTGTTGGATCCCGGATTGTTTTTTGTGAACACGACTCTAAAGTTAGAGTCGAGTGAATGAGAAATAAAATGAAACAATAGTTATTGTAGGAAGAACCATGGGAGTCTCAATGATCTACCTCCCTTTGGTAGTTTGTTTGTCTATTTTTTTATAAGATCGTATTTTATAAAATTACAAAAATGAGGGAATAGTTGTGAAAATCATTTTTAATGTAATTAATACTCTGATTAATTGTATGTATTTAATTTTATATTTATATTACAATTTGAATTTTGATATTACGGTAATTGATTAATTGATTTGCTATAATGTGATTGATTGAGGCGATCAACTCGCTGACGATCGTGTCTCATGTTTGGTCAACCAAGGCGTATGGTCGAATGACAATCTCATCCGCCACAACAAAATCAGGTCGATTGTTCAATCACGATCAGGGTGTTTCTGTCTGCACTTCGGTCGGTCAGTTGGTCGACTTATGAGTTGATTTTTTTATGTCAGGTGAACCGTGGCTCACTTGTTGTTTTGTCTCAAGTCTATGTGGCCTACGTCTTGTCTACCGGTTGGTTTGTTACCTCGACCGGATACCCATTTTTGCAAGGTCTTAGATGGATCTTGTCGTTGTTTGTGTGAGGTATCCAATGAGGCTTGCTGCAAGGATGAGTTATGTCTAGCTCTTGATGGATCTTGTCGATATCGGGCAAGAGATCATCTTTGGAGCTTTGAATTGTCCCGGATTTAGAGAGGCGGCTTCACCTTTTTTGCGTTGACTTACCGGTAGGTTGTTTACCCTTGGGGAAAGTTTCTTATTTTTGGTTGTTCGTTCTCTTTAAGATTTGTGTTGGTAGCTCTAGTGTATACATATTAATTCCCCAATTTTTTTTGCTTCTTGGTGGCGATAATTGTGATAAGAACAAGGAAATTATTATCTTAATCGTGTCAGATAAATCAAGAAAAGTTAATGATTAGTTCTTTCTGTATTTGTATGCCCAACATTGCCCATGAGTTAGGTTGTTCATATTTTCCTAATGTTTCTTGGGGTTTTGAGTAGGAGTTATGTTGGGTAGCACGAGCAACAAGACGGTAGACTCGATCCTACTGGCCTTGGAGAGGTATCCACTTGCCCCGACACATCTCCTAAAAAAGAAAAAGGTGGTCAGGAAGGAAAGAAGGCTATAAACAGTCGGTCCTGAGTCAGTTGACCACGTTGCTCCTTGTGAATATGCTTGCACCCCTATGACCACCACTCCACCGAACATATGATCCAACCAATCTTCAAGCTCTAGGTCAATACCACTAAATTTGAAATTTTTTTTTTCGTAGATGACAACACCTACAAATCAATTAATAAATCTTTAGATTGATCAATGAAATTTTTACAACTTTAATATAATTTTACATTTCAAACATTATCGCATCCAATCTCTCTGTCCACCATCCTTTAGAAGCATCGATGGTTCGCTTTATAGGATCCCAACCAATGCCTGTGGATCATTGCTTTAGCTATTTTCATATTTTCCAGTCCTTTTTTTAATTGATCCCATTTTTTTTTAATTGCATGCTATCAAACTCTCTCCTTGTTAAAATAGGTGGTTAGCATGTTTTCCGACCTCTTTGATACAGAGGTCACAAATATTGATGTTATTTCTTTATCTCATGTAGCAGACGAACCAATCTCTTTTGCCTTGCACATTACAACAACTAGCATGCAAAGAACTAAAGAATATAAATTCATAGGAGATAAAAAAAAAGTTAGAAAACATAAACATCTACAACACCGCCATCACATCACAACCACCATCATGATATTTATCAACACATCAAACTGCCTCATAACCAACACCACACCACAACACCTCCTACAAACCAATCGACAACACCTCAAAACCACTAACCACCAATATCAATAGCACACTACACCATACCACCACCTCTATATAACCTACAACCAACACCAATTGCACACAAGCACAAGATCACCAAAAACCAACATCAGCACCATACTACGAGCTCCACGCCACACCTCGTCCTCCAAACTATACAACACCACCTTCAAATCACTAACCACCAACTTGAATAGCAAACCCCATAACTCAACCACCTCCACAACCACACACCACCACCTCCACAACCACACACCACCAACTCCACACCACACACCAACACAATCATACCAAACCCTAAACCCTGCAACACCACCTCCTTACCACACATGTGATGCCACCACCTCCACCGCACGTAACACCTCTGCACCGCTCCACTGTCTACATACCATTTCCACATCACAACAATCCACCTTCACACAATACATCATCACCTCAACACCACACTTCACTTCCAAACAACACCACAAAATCCAACATTTAGAGAAACCACCGCAAAATCACCACCGCCACAAACTTGAGTAGTACAACACAATCACAAAATCCATTTGTATTGGACTAAATTCCACATGCAACCACCACTAACACCAAATTTCGTGCAACAACCAGCATCTTAACACAACCATCCAAATTCATCAACTAGATAACAAACAGGGAACAAAGAAAATCAAACTGAAAATATAACATAGGGCCCAATAAAATTGCAAAATCCAACAACACAATCCAACCACCCAAATCCATCAACTGAGTAAGGCACAAAAACCGAAAGCCATCAATCACACAAACCAAAATGCAACAACTGAAATCCACCAAAGTTCTAACATCACAACAAAATAAATCAAAAAACATCACAACCCAACAAATAACCAAAATTTTCAACCCTAAATCAAAATGCCCCAATAGAAGGCCGTAAAGAATATTGTGGGGACAACATAGATTTAACGAACCAAACTTAATTGAAGAATAGAGGGGAGAGGGAGAGGTGTCGGGAAAGGCAAACTCACTGCAACAATCACCAACCACTGATCCAGACCGAGCCAAAGACCTAGCCACAGATCAAAGAGGATTGGGAGATCCAATTTAGAGCAAAATTGGTGAGAGTTGAGAGAGGGGAAAGAAGAGAGTGAAAGAAAGCACGAGAGCCTTCAACGAGGTAGGACAGTAAATTAATTATGAAGAAATGCAGGTTGCGAGATCAAATGCATGACCCACGTTTCATATGGCTTTCCCATAAAAACGATTGCACCGCGTTAGCCAAATGCTCCTAAATATATTTTTAGGCTACACTGCGACAAATAAGCTGCGCTAAACAGGCTCTCAATCATAATTCTGAGCACTCTAAATTTCAACACTCGTCTAAGTACTTCGGATTGAAGCAACCACTTAAAAACAACAAAAATGAGAATGAAAAACACACTTCAATTTGCAACATTCATCAAAGTACTTAAGAATCCAACATTCTCTTAAAAGTAGTCATAATCTTACCGAACACTAGCAATGTGAAACAACAAAAACTCCATGGAAAATAAGAAAGATAGATTCCTTCAAGCACATCATGTCTCAATAAAAATTAAATAAACCTGAAAAAAAAAACCACCCATAAAGAAGAAAAAAACAATCTCCAGGAGAAGACAATAAATATTAAAGGACTAACAAAATAATAAGATAAATAAAAAAAAATGCAAAACAAACAAAATAATGATGAAAAATAAAATAAGTTAAGCAAGGTTTCAAAAACTTACCGACATATCCATTAAATTTTCCTCAAAGTAAGTGAATATCTCAAGTGAAAATTTTAAAATATTCAAAATACATATGCATTTTAATATATGGCTAGAATTCATCGTAACAAAACCAATCCTAGAAAGCTAAAAGATAAAAAAAAATAAATATTCAAAACTAATAAGATCAACAAAAGTATCAGTCTAACTAGTTCAAAAGATTAAAATCATATATGATCAAATAGTTCAAGAAATAGAAAGTAAGATACGAAGATGAAATCCACAAAGAGTAAGGAAATAGTAGAAAAAAAGAGTGAGCCAATATAGCATAAATAAATCAACACCAATACAAAAATATCAAATATAAAAAGGACAAGAAAAAAAAATCTAAAAAATGACTCAACAAAACAAAACAAGACTAGAAATTAAACAAAATAAAAATCAGTAAATATTATAAAAAAAAGTCAGATTAATATTATTTTATTGCTTAAACTTCCATTTTCAACTCTTCTCGTTTATCAATAAATAAATATTAAAGATAAAAATCTCAATAGAGGTAGAATTATTTAGAAAAAAT